TGAAGCACCCAATTCTCATTAACTGCTAATGACAGTAACACTCTCACTGTGTTTAGTTTTGCTACCGGAGCAAACGTTTCATGATAATCAACTCCAAAAGATTGAGTGAATCCTTTCGCCACTAATCCCGCCTTATATCTTTCAATGCTACCATCAGCTTTGTATTTTACCGTGAATACCCATTTGCAGTCGACTAGTTTTTTATCTTTCAGAAGATCAACTATAATCCAAGTATTGTTATTTTCCAGTGCTTTTAATTCCTCTTCTATTGCCTTTTTCCACTTGGGATCTTTCAATGATTCTTCCACCGTATCTAGAATAGTAATGCTATCTACACTTGCTGTAAAGTTCTTAAAACAAGGCATTAGCTTTCCGTATGCAACAAATCTCTCAATTAAAAAATTTCTGCATTTTCTTACTCATTTCCTTTGAGCAATCGGCAAATCATTATCATCAATTAAAGTATTTAATTCAGAGGAAAAACTTTTATTACCTTCTTCATTCTCCAAAGGATTCTCATTCGGTTCCAGTTCATGACAGTGTCCATACTGTGTGGGAGACTCGGAATTAGGTTCAGGGATTGATTTAGAAATTGATTTTTGTCTTCTCTTGTAAATCTGTAAATTGAATTGAGGTATTTGAGGCGAAGTGATATGCTGATCATGTCGAGGTAAATGTGTTTCGGTGGACTGGTTTGGCAATGATACGTTTTCTGGATTCGATAGTGTTGTTTGGTCTGGCTGTAGCGATTTTGTAGGCTTATTTGACTGGTTTAACTGGTTTGACGGTGCTGGTTGATCAAAAAGAGCTAGTTGCAAATCAAATGACAGTTGTTGTGAGTTAACAAACTGATATTCATTATATGACTCCCCTGAATAGCAGTTTTAAGGAAAAAAAAGTGTTTTTTTAAGGAAAGTAACGTCCATAGTAATAAAGAATTTCTTTGTGCGAGGATAATAACACCGAAAGCCCTTTTGAGTCGATGAATAACCCAGAAACACACACCGAAATGCTCGAGGATCTAATTTGGACATGAAAGGAACATTGTTATGAACGAACATAGTACAACCAAAAACTCTAAGGAGTAATAATGAAGTCATCGGTTTAAAATAGGGAAAAACTGAAGAAAAACATCTCTCGAACACTTAAATTATAACGGTTTACTAGGGAGACGGTTAATCAAAAAAGTGGCAGTTAAAAGGGCTTCCCAAAAAATAGTTAAGAACATTTATGGAAAAAAGTAGAGACCGAGTAACCTCAAGAAGATGTATGTTTTTCCGCTCAGCAATCCCATTTTGTTGAGGAGAATTGACACACGAAGTAAGATGAACAATCCCGGTTTCCTGAAAGAAAGAACACAAAACATTGGCAAAATACTCGCTACCATTGTCAGAATGAAACATTTGGATTGAACACTGAAATTGGGTTTTCAACCATCTTATGGAACCGTTTAAATATTTCACAAGCTTCAGATTTGGTTTTCATGAGAAACGTTCCAGGTAGTACGAGTGTGATCATCAATAAATGAAATAAACCACTGAACCCCATGTAAAGATGTAACCCGAGATGGTCCCCAAATATCACTATGGATCATGATAAATGGTTTGGACGGTTTATATGGAAAAGGTAGATAAACACTCTTAGTTTGTTTAGAAAGTGGACAAATATTACAAGAAAAAGTTTTCGGGCTTTTATTGACAAACAAATGTGGAAACAATTTTGCAAGATAAAAGAAACTGGGATGTCCTAAACGAAAATGCAATAACATAACATCGGTTGAAGGTTCAAGTAAAGGAAATTGTTGTATAACATTGAAGGAAGTAGATGGGTGGGAAAATAAAATTGCTGGAAGTAAGTAAAGACCCCCATAAAGCCTAGCACTGCCAATTAGGGGTGTGCAAAAAAATTCGATCCGACCGATCCGATCCATTGATCCGATCCGAAAATTCAAATATCCGATCCGTTTTTCAATTTTTGGATAGTTCGGATCGGGTATCCGAATTTTTTTTCGGATTTTCGGACCGGATACGAATCGATCAAAATCTAATTTTGGATTATCCGAAAACCCAAAAAAAAATTGGGCTATATTATTAGCCCAGAGCTGTTTGGGCTGTATTAGATTTCTGTATGTATAGATTTCTGGATTCTAGCTTGTATTTTAATATACAGCACGTATAGATTTTTGTATGTATAGATTTCTGGATTCTAGCTTGTATTTTAATATACAGCACGTATAGATTTCTCATTTCTGGATTCTAGCTTGTATTTTACATGGCTTGAAACACAAGTTGGACAAGGTTGAAAATCAGCAGTCGAAGCTAGAAAACTTACTTGAAAGCCAAAAATATATCGACACATTTAGCGGTTCCATCTCTACCAAGAAAAGTGTCAAAGAGATAGAGAACAACAATCAAATCATTGTGTAAGCAAAACAAGCCGGCGTTCGGGGGAAAGCCGAGCAACTTGATGTACTGCTGCAAGGAATGCAATGTAGGGTAACAAAACTGGAGAATATCTGTGGAATAATGCATGCTCAAATAGGAAATATTTCCGAGAACAAGATTATCCAGCGTAGGTAATAATGCTAGATTCTTACCAAAACTCTGCTCTTGAAACATACCCTTGCCTCCAGTCTTTCATAGTTTGGCCCTGTATTATTTTTGAAAAGTATTTGTATATTCTAAGCCAATTAATGTAAATATAGATTATTTTTGTCACAAATGTTGTAAAAAAGTGACCAGTGGATGGCAAATATTGTCACTTTTGTAAAAAGAAAGTTCCAAGTTTTGCTAGGTTTTACCAACTGACGACTAACAACAGTTTGTTGAATGTCAATAAAATGTTGTTCACAAATCAGTCATTATCGAACATCTTAAAATCTTAAACTACATCTCTAAATGCTCATCACATCACTTTTTATCATATTCATATTTCTGCAAGAAAATCAACTGCGTTAGATACCTGGCACCCAAGGAGAATATGATGTGGAAAAATCCATAACTATAGCGGATATCATCCTCTATTTTCACCATATCTTTCCTAAACTGGGAAATCATAAGAGCTATAAGTGTTTCTTATTTGATTAATGCTTTTATTATGTTGATTTTTTTTTGAATTTTTTGCCAAAAAAAATCGGATTTGTATCCAGATATTCGGATATCCGATCCAAAATTTCGGATATCTAATTTTTTCGGATCGGATACGGATCATTACTTTAGGTATCCGAAATTTTCGGATATCTGAAAATTCGGATCGGATAATATCCGATATCCGATAATGCACACCTCGACTGCCAATCACTTTCCCCGAGCTGGAATCTTGAAATTCACAAAAATCAGAGTTAAATTTCGTGGTACAACATAAATCGGCAGACAACTTGCTAATGGAGATAAGATTGCAAGTGAGATTGGGAACATAAAGAACATGAGATAACAAAATGTCCTGATTTATTCGAATAGATCCATGACCGGCAATACCAAATAGAGAACCATAAGCTGTTCGAATATGAGAGATAGACGAATCAGCATGAAAAGTGTGAAAGAACCGAAGATCACCTGTCATATGATCACTTGCACCAGAATCCACAATCCAAGTAGGAGTGGTAGATGTATTAGCCAAAGTAGCAGAAGGAATTCTACCTGTAGGTATTGATTGGGGATGAGTGTGCATCTGACTAAAATACTGTTGCAACTCTTCCATTTGTTTTTTAGTAAACAAACTTCCTTGTAATTCAGTATTCACAACACAGTTTCCTTGAGTATCACGTTGTTGATGCTGTTTTGAAAACTTTCCATCAGTAGGCTTGCCATGTAATTTCCAACAGGAATCCCGCAGATGACCAATCTTCTTACAGTAGTCACACCAAGGTCTCCCTTTCTTTGGCCGAGTAGTAGTTTGAGTGTGAGTGAGCAATGCAGACCCTTCAGCGGGCTGCAAATCAGGAAGCATAACGGTACGTCGACTTTCTTCGCGTCGTATTGCAAAAAATATTTCCCTGGATTGAAGGAAGAGGTCCTAATACTCGTCCTCGGACTTCATCAAGATCTCGATGCAAACCGGACAAAAACTGGAATATCCGGCGCTGTTCAACAATCTTCTTGAATAGAGCGGCATCTTCTACACACCTCCATTCATGGGATTCAAACAAATCAAGTTGTTGCCATATGCGCGACATTAGAGTAAAATACTGAGTCACGGTCATGTTGTCTTGTTTGAGATTGGCAAGTTGACACTTGATCCCAAATAAAGCAGCAGCATTTTCCAGATTCGAATACATCGCCTTTGCAACACTCCAAATTTCAGCCGTTGTTTCATACAGCATAAAGTTTTCCCCCACAGCAGGAATCATGGAATTGATGGCCATGACATAATCATGGTATTCTCACTTAGCCAGGTTGAATATTCAGGATCCGTCACAGCGGGAATTGGTGTGGTCTCCAAAAGATATTGTTGTTTGCGCCGACCGGTTATATAAAGGCGAACAGATTGGGATCAAGCGATATAATTGTCACCATTCAATAGGTTACAGGTGATAGAGGTTGAAGAAACATCAGAAATGTTTGAATGGGGCTAATTAACGAGGAATTCCGAAGTGACATCCGATGAAGAAGTGGCGGAATTCATGATTGACGGCTATATTTAGGGTAAAAAGAAAAAAAAATAGGCTAGATTTAGGTGAAGGATCGGTCACCTAACTAATACCATGTTGAAAATAGGGCTAATGTAAAATGAAGTAAAAGGAATTGCGTGATGAAATAAATTAAATGACAGGTAAGAAAAAGTGAAAAACTTCACTGTCGTATATTCAAGTAACAATAGATTACAAGTTTAATATGTATATATAGTAGATGAGAACAAATATTTAATTTAAACTAAACTACTTGGTAGATATCCTTATCTAACTTTCTAAGAGTTAATTTAAACTAAACTACTTAGTAGTTATCTTTATCTAACTTTCTAAGAGTTAGTGTTATATTAAAATACTAATTAATTATTCTTATCTATCGCATAACCTACATCAACAACTAGGTTAACAAGTAAGAATGAACAGCATGGCCTTAGTCAGCATTAAGAAAACTTCCCTAAGTGACTAATTATCAACTATTTAAAAGCAACACTACCAAATTTTCTGACATACACATTGAGACATCATTATTATGGCTTACCGTTGGACCTGCAAGCAAAGAAGTTCCAGAATCTGCAATTGCCGCACAGCCTCCAGTACAATATCCTGAATAGCAAATGCCCAGGTCAGTACCACAGAGAACAATTCCAAGAAATGCTGTTGCTTGAAAGAAGGTAATTGAAGAGCTTGAAGAAATTATTTAATCCCACTTTTAAAGTACTACAGGCATTGCAAGAAACATACCAGTTGGTTTGTCACCAATAAGAACATCACCCATGTCAAACTACCAAAAAGAAACGATTATTAAGAAAAAAGAGAAAGACAAAACAGTATATAAAGCATCTATCCGTAGTGATGATTTAAGTTTGAAAAGTCAACCTGCCAGTAGCCTTTTTGTGTAACAGGGACATATGTGTGCTTCCCCCTGTAATGGTCTGGATCAACCCCTCCGAAAACAATTTCACCACTCTCTTTTTCCTCAACATTGCGGTTAAGCCAAAATGAAAATACAGGGTCCTTGATAAGACCTTGCTTGATCATGTTGTACAGGGTTTAAAATCGCGGTCGCGGTCGAGTTTTCGGTTATTTCGGATTTACCGTGATTACGGCCGTCGCGGGCGCTATTGCGGCTGTCGCAGACCCATCGCGGGTAACTCGGACTGCGGTAAAACCGCTATATCGCAGCCGAAATCGCGGTTGCTGACCGTTTTTTAAAACCCTGGTTGTACCTGTAAAACAAACAGGTGGTCCAAGATAAACTCCTAATATAAAGAAAAATCTTAAATAGCTAATAGAAGTTAATGCAAACATACCACACTGGGACAGCTTTCCCAACTGAAATCTCCTTAAACCCAAGTCCTAATATCCCATCAAATTTGGCCACCAAAAACGTAAGACCTGGCTCCTTAGTAGCCTCAATAAATTCCTTGTAAAGAAAATAATTAGTAGGTTACCTAATTTAAAGTTTCAGAAGTGAAGAAGATTAGCTAATAGAAGTTAAAATGCAAACATACTTTATCTTTCACAACCAAGTCACCAACTTGAACATTGTCATAACTAAATAAACCAGAAATAGCACCAGTGCCATAGTGAATAGCAGCAGATTTCCCTGCGCATCAAATACGATAATACAACTATATTATTTTAGCATCCATGGGAAATAGACACCATGAGTCAATTTACCAAGTAAGCCTATTAGAAACTGGTTACATAAAGGCCCAGAGCAATTTCTTTAAAAATAGACCAGAAAAGCATGCATAATGTTTGAAGTTGTAGAAAACTATCACCATCTTCCCACTGAAGTCAATCCTACCATTTATAGACCAACCACAAAGACAACCATACATTATTTTGGAAATAAAAATTCACATAAAAATTGTTCTTATGTTCTTAAAATAAAGAACAAGTTCATAAAACAATTACGAGTGCAATAAAAGGAGAAGACATACCATTCTTCTTATATGTTTTTGACTCACTTGCCTTGTACTTGGAATGGAGATAACATGTAATCTACATCATAAAGTAAGGACATTAATCCTTCGCTCCGAAACAATCAAAGCAAACAGCTCTTTTCTACATATTCATAGTAAACATAAACGCAGGGACTCACCGAGAACTTAGATGATGGCACCCACAAATTTGAACTGCCAGTATCAAATATAACAGTGAATTTTTGTGGTGGAGTTCCTACACCAATCTCACCATAGTACTGAGCATCCATGTAGTTCTTCAAGGCAACAATATCCACATCCTCCGAGTCTCCAAGATAGTTACGGAAGCGATGCTTTTTCATAGATGCTATGAGAGCCTCTCGATCCTTGGATTCAAGCCGGGAAGCCAGCCGGTTGTTCGGATCGAATTTCAGCTTTTCCAGCCCAATTCTAACCAACCCATCACTAGATGCAGTTACGACGGAAAATAAAAGGGAGGAGATGAACAACGACAGCACAACCACATTGAAAGTCGTTCCCATGTTAACCTATATAGCCACATCGACACTGAGTTGTTAGATAACACATAGAAGCGCAAAGAAAGAGATAAATGCAGTCTGCATGCATGAGTGTATGAAGGAATACTAATATCGACACTCAATCGTTGGAAAAGTCAAAATTGGGATTAAGGAAAATCAATTAAGGGATCACCGTATGTGGGAATTTAATAAAGGGGTTGAAGGGTAAAAAAGGGCACCGAATTCGGTTTCCAATCTTAGTTGAAAATATAAATAAGAATAATTGTAATTTAGTCCCTGTACACTTTAAGATATTTACAAAATTAATCTTTAAGCTTTAACTATAAATATCTTGATCCATTTAGTTTCAAAACCATTTCAAATCATTTATTTCTCCTAATACTAAAGAGTTTAGAGAGTTTTATTGTAAGTTGTGATTGTTTTGTAAATACCTGTAAATTTTCTCTCTTTAGTAAAAGGTCTTCAGCAGTCCAGAGACGTAAGCATAATTGGTTGAACTCTGTTATCAAATTTCAGGTATTATTTTTCTGTTTTTATTTCGCATTCTCACTATAGGAAATTACTCATTTTATTTCCCATCAATCAACAGTTATATAACACATAGAAGCGCAAAGAAAGAGATAAATGCAGTCTGCATGCATGCGTGAATGAAGGAATACTAATCTCGACACCATCTTCCATAACATTGAACCCGGCAAGTCATAAATTCCTAAAAAACTTTAAAGCATTTTAAATATTTTATTGTTATCAGCTTCCCTTAGTTCCCTGCATGCAATCCTTTTCAATTTTAAACTGCTTTAGCTATTTAGCACGAAGAAGAAACGAAGATGAACAATTATTTAATCCTTCAACATTCAAGCTAAATCCTAATCTCCTGTCAACTCAAAAAAAATATTGAGTTCTCTCATTTCATGTCATACCTTATATGAGCTCATCAATCAGCTTGATTCATCTAGCAAAGAACTAAGTGCACCGCTAACGAGGCGAGTATAAAGTAAAAGATGATTGATCAAAATGAATAATAATTTTCAAGAAAAAATCGTTATGGTTCACAACTTCACATCGCACTAAAATAATCCAATCCGATCAACAAAATATCAGCATCAAAACAGTAGCTATAAACAAAAATTTTAAAAAGAAAGAACAAGAAAAATGGAGTAACGGATAGAACAATGCTCACCGCTTAGACGAAAGAAACTAAAGGGAAAGGTAAGTCGATGAAATGTAGAAAAAAGATGAGCCAGAAATAGAGAATACAAAGGAGGGGGGGAATAACAAGAATCCCGATAAACAAACAGAAAAGACCTGAAGGCAATGTTTTCAAAATCGGACCGGACATTGAACTGGTGAAGATACTGGTTCACTGGTTCACTGGTTCACTAGTTCAACCTCAGTTGAATCGGATTTTATATAAAATAATATATTTTTTTAATTTTACATAATAATCAAAACAATATTAATATATATGTAACACTTTTTTTAAGTTTACAATATTAAAAGGTATAAAAATATCACAAGTCATAACATGTATAAATGAAAAACCATAAAATCAAGTGAAACAAAATGATTCAAATCAACTACAACATAATATTTAAGGTAAAACATATTAAATAATAAATATAATTATATAACTATAATTAAAAAAATAAAATTTGGGTTTAAAACAATCTCACATGACTAAGAAACATAGAAGAGTATCCCAAAAATTTAAAGAGTAAAAATATGAGAACAAAACAATCCCACATGGCTAAGAAACATAGAAGAGCATCCCAACTTACTTCTATAAATAATAGAGGTAATTTGACATTTAAAATCATGGAGCCTTTTGGTAAGCACAAAGCGAACTATTCTTTCGCTTCAATTGAGCTCAAATTTTAGGCTTCAATCGAACTTCTAAATTTTTTTTTGAGTTCGAGCCTTTTCGATTTCAAGTTTTAATATTATATTTCGAGTTGATAATTTTTAGCTTGTGAGTTTTTGAGTCGAGTTGAGCTTACTTTTAAAGTTTTCGAGTTTGAGTCGAGCTCAGCAATACTCGAATTTGACTCGGCTCGTTGAACAAACGACATTGTTTGGTTTAATTTTTTTTTTAAAGAAAAAAAGTGAACCGGCGGTTCAAACTGATTTTGTCGATTATCAACCGATTCACCCCAGTTTTCAGCCGGTTCTTTCGATTCTTTACCAGTTCTGTGCTAATCCAGTTTTGGGAGTTAATCGGATCGGACAAGTCACCGGTTCAAGATTCAACCGGTCGAACCGACCGGTCCGGTCGCCGGAAGGTTTTAGCTACCTGTCACTTCCCTAGACTCGGTGGGTTCCAACTCACCGTACCCGATAATACCCGACATTTAAGCTGATGCTTCTTGCTTTAACCTCAGCCGTTGATCCTTAACTGCGTTTGATGAACAAAACGAACGGTTGTTATGCCGCGGAGGGTTCGGGGCGTTGGATTTCGGGGGTAAAACTGAAACGAGTATTTGGCTTTAAGGTCTTGATTTTTGGAGCTGCATAGGATTCTGTTGATACGAACGTATTACTCTGTAAGCAGCCGGGAAACGACGACGTTTGTCTGCTTTTGGACTTGGATTTAAAGCCTACGACTTAGGGCCTTGGCATTGAGAGCCGACGACGTTTTGAAGTCTCATTTGGGCCTTTTGCATCAGCTGGACCTTCGGGGTCTCTGTTTGCCAGGTAGTCAAATGTCCCTTTCTCGGTTTTCTCAAAAATCATTTTCTATTTCATTCATTGTCCGACTAAGAATAGATTCGCAGGATAGTACTAAGACCCTCATGGTGGTATTTGTAGAGCGTAAAATCTACCATATTTTGATACATCATTTAAATTATATATACTCTTTTTCAACCATAATGTTTTTTGAATTTATTACCAAGAGAGCAACCTAAGCTGCTACGGATCACAAGAAACAACGTCCTTAATTAAATCAACAATGACTTCAACTGGGCGGGCACACCCATTGAAAATCCTGCAAGTAAATATGAGCACTCCAAGCCACCCTAAGGATACCAAGAATAAATGATTTACCCTTCAAGCAGGAAATCGCCCAAATCAACTCCTGGTCCCATAACATAACCTGCCAAGAAACATTGCACAGCCGCAACACCCCTTTCCAAACCTCATTCGAAAAAGAACAAATGGTCTCGAGATTCCACAGAAAACATAATGCGAGTCAACAACAACACCCCAACGAAAAAGACGATCCTTTATATATATTACATCCACAACAACACTAATCTAACTAAAACTCAATAGACTAAATTCTTCCTCATACAAGGACTAATATAAGAATTTTGTTTTTCCCCTTTTCTGTTAAAACCTAATTATCTTCTGTGTTGTTAGTTGCTACTCCATAAGCATACCTTAATAACGCAAACAATTGATAGTCAAATCAAGGTACTGAAAGTGCGTTGTTGTTTTTCGCCTTGTAACTTCAATTTTATCAACTCTTTGAATTGTATTTAACAGTAATTATTAGTATCATGTACATTCACATCATGACTCACCTTATAACTCAAATTCAACACATCAGATCCATTTATTATTATTAGAGTTCATTGTATTGTATGTTTTCAGATTATGATTTTTATTTTAAATTATTCTTTAATTTTTTTTAATATTTTAATTTTATCTTAAACTATAATTTTCGTTCTAAATTAATCATCAAACTTTTGAATATTTCAATTTCATTCTCAAACTATAACCATCATTTTAAATCAATCCTTGGATTTTTGAAGCTTCTAATTTAATCCAAATGTGTAATTAGTTCCAACCATAGTTTAACCTTATTTTTTTCAAACATATAATAATAGAGCTTTGTCTAATCATTTTATTAACATGGAAGGTAATTAGCATATATTGATAGTTTGAGATAAAATTGGAACGTTTGAGATTAATTTAGAACGAAAGTCATAGTTTGAGGATGATATTAGAATGTTCAAAAGTTTGAGGACTAATTTAAAATAAAAGCGATAGTTTCAGGGTAAAACTAAGGCATTCAAAAGTTTATGGATCAATTTAGAATTAGGATCTTGATTTAAGGGCGTGTGAAGCAATTAACTATTATTATTATTATTATTTATTATTATTATTATTATTATTATTATTATTATTATTATTATTATTATTATTATTATATCAATAGCACCTGCTTGTATTGTTCCTCTGTCCGCGTCACTATATAATATTAGTATTTAGTAGTAAAACTGTACTCTACAACAACAGTCTAACGATACGCCAAATCTCTACGTAAGTACGTGAGCCACGTGGGTAGCCTCTCATGGTCAACGTGAATCTCGATCAACTCATCTCTCTTTTTCTTCATTGTTGATTTTGCTTTAATGTTTGGTTTGAAAATTTGGCTTTTATTTATATAAAATATATAGTTTTTCAATCTCTTTGGAGAATAATATATAATATATTATGTATAGTTAAGCGTGACGGGTTAAGATTGGTCGGCATTTGAAATGTTTTTTTCTTAATCTTAAAACAAAATTTTAAATCTTATTTTTTTATAAATATAAGATAAATACAAAGTGACATGTTCAAACACTCTTAACCATTTGACAATTAATACTCATATTCTTCGTATATCAATATGTGGTGCTTAAACCCAAATTCTCAATAAATAACAATAAATTCTTTAATCACTATAAATAAAAATTAATTATATATACGTATATATTTTCAATCACACGCATGCAGCTAGAATACATAAATACGTGCATGAGCATAAGGTAATTATAAATTGACCAGAAATTTGGTCTATGTACCTTTATAGTCGTCAAGAAAGTTGGTGGGTTTTCACTGTGTTTTCTTCCCGCACGTCGACTGCTCCACTTTTCTTCGAGGTTTCACCAGAAATGGCTGCCAGGGGTGTACCGAGGGAGCGGATGGGACAGTCGCCATTTGAAATTTTAAAATTATTATATATTGTAGATTTTTTTATATATTTTCTATAAAAAAATTTAATTTCGTCTCTTGAAATTTTATAAATTTAAGTTTGTCCTGAAATTTTAAAAGTACTCTCTTAACATAAGATTGTCCCTGCATAGCTGCTTACTTTGACATGGAATTGATGGACCATCGTTAATTAAAGTTATTTAAAAGAGATAAGAGAGAGAGAGAGAGAGAGAGAATTTGAACATTTCACCCTCCTAAGAGACGCAGCTTTTGACCATATACATGCAGAGATCTGATACCCATGCCCCAATATGGTTGAACCTATTAAACATGTTTTATATTTCACTGTTTTGATAATAGAAAGGATAATGACGAGATAAAACTAACATAATCGAAAATAAAAAAAATATTAAAATTTACGTAGAAAACTTTATAAACTGTTAAGACTAAAGAATAGGGAAAAAAATACTTATCTTTTCATATATCATCAAATAAAGTTACAAGCATTATTTATAGCTCAAGGCTTTACAACAGTCTAACTGAAAATAAATGCTACCTAACAACCTTAACAGAAAGTAACTAACTGCTTCTGCTAATTTTAACATAAACAAATAAATTACTATAGAAGAGATAAATTTATCATATGTGAAAATTACAATAATTTACTACCATAAAATCTTATATTGTTGACTAGATTTGAATTTGTGGACAAGAGAATATGTGCATGCATGGGAAAGAAGCCTTTGGGTCAAGTACAATAGCATAGTTTTACCGTACGAAACCACACCAAGCACAAGTGCAACAAGTCTTTGGGTCCAATCAGAATTGTCAAATTATGCGGATATCCTTTGCTCTTTTTCCCATCCTTTGATGTCGACGTTTCTTTGAAAGAAGCCTGGCGGGTAAATAAAAGGAACCTAACAAAAAGCATATTGTCTGGGGGAGACAATCAAATTTCAGTCATCGACTTTTGGCCTTTCATTTCACATTGGTTGTCCCTTGTTCTCATATGTAATAGGGCAAGAGGAGGTAAGATAGTGGGTTGCCCCCCACACTAGGGGGAGAGCAACTTCTGTAGGAGACCTCCAAATTATGAAATGCCCTCCATGGGACTCGATCCAACGACCTCAAGAATAAGAACCTTGTGCTCTACCAACTGAACTGGATGATCATTTCCTTTCATTCCACATTCAATCTTCGAAATGAAACACTTCAATAAAACAAAAGTTCTCACTATATGTTGTCTTTAAATTTTAACATGCACTCGAATTTATTAAAAAAAAGGGTTAAAGTGATATTAGTAGACACTGATAGATCCATTAAGGTGTGATGATAAATAAATTGTAAATGTCGACTCCAAAATTTTAAAAAAAATCAAATATTTTTTTTATTTTATTAATTGTGTTTACTTTAATATTCTATTTATGTTCAACTTTATAAAAAATTATATATATATATTCTGAATCCGTTACAGTTAGTAAATTACTTTATCATACAAGCCAGTTGATGAAACTTGAAGCCTAATAATATTTGTCAGCGCGCATGAGCCATAGTTTGGCAAGACGCTTGGCTCCCTTTGGTTAAATGGAAGAAGCGCCATAGTTTGGCAAGACGCTTGGCTCCCTTTGGTTAAATGGAAGAATTGCAATTAGGGGTGTTTAATGAGTTGAGCAGTTCGTGAGCAACTCGAACTCGACTCGGTCAAAACTCGATAAAAGCTTGACTCGAAACCTTAACGAGTTGAGTCGAGCAAAGTCCTAATCGATTCGATAAGTTCACGAGCAGTTCGTTAATATTTTTTATAATTTTTTAGTAGCTATCATAAAAAAATTATTTCATTAAAAAAATTACTAATTTACTAATAGATGATAAAAAAGAAGATAAATTATTAATCTATGAATTTTCTAATAAATAATTAAAAATACTAAAGTATTAATTAATAAATATTATTCTACTACACCCAAAAATCTAACCCTAATTATTATTTTCATGTATTTATGGATTGTTATTTTCGTGTTTAGCCTTTCAATTTGTTTCATACACTCTTCTGATAATTCTTTGGTTAAATTTATTAATTTATGTATATATTAAGTTTTATATGGTATTAGTAGATTTTACTTATAGTTAAAAAATAAAATAAAAAATTCACTAAACTTAACGAGCAACGAGCTTAACGAACAACGAGTCGAGCAACAAAATTTCTTAACGACCACTAGTCGTGCAAAATTTTAACGAGCTTAACGATCAATGGGTTGAGCAAAATTTTAACGAGCTTAACAAGCAACGAGTCGAGCAGCAAGTTTTCTTAACGAGTAGTAGTCAAACAAATTTTTAACGAGCAACAAATCGAGTCAAGCAACAAAAATTTATAACGAGCACAAGTCGAGCACTAGCCAACTCGCAATCGATTCGCTCGATAGGCACCTCTAATTGCACTATTAGTCTCTGTCAAAAAATTGATAATTCATTCTAATTCTTAGATTAAAGTAGAAAATTATATTTCTAACCCCCAGAAAATTAAGTCCAATCAAATCTCTTTGGTTAAAAGTTCCTTTTTATTCGGACTAAAACAAAGTCCAACTCAAGGACAACAGAAGAAGGAAAAGAAAAGAGTATTCAATGTTTTTTTTATACTAAAGCAAAAATACACAACAATCTTGAATTACAAGCATCAAAATATGGATCATAACAAAAGCTACGCTAATATGCTCGTAAGTATTCAATGCCCAAGAAGATAATTAGACTAATAGAAGGATTTGATTGATATAATATTGATACTTTAAAGGATCAATTTAAAATATTTTAAAATTTTAAGATTAATTTGAAATATAAATAATAATTCATGAATGCTTGATGAAATTAACCCTTCGATTATTTTATATAACAACATTGGACTAGTCCTTCGAGGGTAAGTTAAATCACCCTATGACATAAACGTTAATCGTCATGTAACTTATTCAAACATTTTGATTGTGGACGTTTTCTCTTTTGGTTGAATTTTATATTATTTTTAAAATCTGTTTAAACGAGTGATTAATAAATTTTAAAAAAAATCAATTAAAAAAGAAAGAAAGTCTAAGCGAATGACTTGATCCCATTTAGAGCAAAATGATCATGGATGAAGTTGGATTAAATTTTTAGTCTATTCGAATTCGATCTAAGTATAACATTTTTTTCACATGTTAAGATACACCTGATTCAAAATCCGACAAAATTTCTAAGTTAAAAACATGTACTCGCCTCGATCAAACCCAACACAAATGTATTAAAATCTTTTTATTTTTATTAGGTAAAATGAGAATCTAATTAAAAAATTATATTGGGAGAATAATATTATATCAATTATCTCTAAATATATAATAGTTACTGTCATTATTATTCTTGGATCAGATCAGATATTTTTCACCATAAATATAATATAACCCAAATTTATACCAAAAAAAAATCAATTCGACTTAACCTAAATTTTTTCTTTTTAAAATAACCCTATAAATCAAATCAAAATTTATCAATTTTAGATTAAATAATTATATCTAATCCCACCCTAAACAACCAATAGAGAACATATCTTAGACGTGGGAGTGTGAAGCTAAAGTGGTGCCGAGGAAAGACCAAGGCACTGTCTCAGATGGCCTAAGAGTCAGGTCGGGTCAGGTTTTTAGTCAACACAATCCGACTAAAAAATGTAAACTTTCCATCTGAAATCTAATCCGAATGTAAGAATAATTCCATTCGATCCAAACGATCTTTTGAGATGGAATTCTAACTCGATTCTATCCGAAATAAATATATTTATAAAAAATATTATTTTTATTCAATAAAAATATAGATCTAATTAAAAAAATAATAAATAGTGAGTTATTATTGTATTTATCCTTAAATATATAAGGCAATTTTTCGGGTTGGGTCGTGTATTTTCACCATAAAATCGAACTTGATCCGACCCAAAGATATTTTCTAAAAGATCTTACCCAACTCGAATCTGATTTCTTTAAGAAAAAAATCCAACCTAATTGAGTCGGAATCCTTCGGATTTGAGTCCCGTGCCCATCCTATTACCACCCGGTCACCGGTCGTACAAGAGAGCCGGGCCGTCAAATTCGTTGACTTGGGCGTTGGATCTCCTTTGTGTTTTCTCTTTTTTAATTGACGTGGAACGCGCCGCGCCCTTGGGGGTGGTGGATATTTTTGTATTTTCCTTTTTTTCTTTATTTGCCTTTTCTCTTTTGATTTTTAAAGGAATGAGTCAAATTATGATGGACTATATATGTGGACGAAACCTCCTTTAATTTATTTATTACATTGAATAATTAAATTATACAAGGTCTAATTATGATTTTAGTCCATCTTAAATTTAAATTTTAGTTTTTATACTTTGATTTTTTGCCACTACCATGAAAGGGAATTCGGAATGAATGAGTTAATAAGCAATACAGAAAGGCAGAATTCTGGTTTTGATTTAATTTGGCCACTTTACTCTTATAATGTTATTTGTTAATCAAAATAATCAACCCTGTGAATTATTTTAGTTAAAATGAGTGGTTCTAAACAAAATCATGTTAATAAATCAACTCAGCTCAACATCATAGTTAGGATAATCATGGGTCGACTAGGATTTTTAGCCAATCGGACACGACCCAAGCGTAAGATTCATCCCCCATCACTTGATTCTATCTGGATTTAAGAAAATTTTCACCTTACTTTAAAAAAATCAATCTTTTAAGGTAAAAATCTGACCAAATGAGACACACACATGTGTTTATATATATATATATATACTCTCTTTTATAAAACAAAATGATGAACTAGTTAAAAAATATTATAGCAATGTTCCCTAAATATATAAAGATTAATTTACTATTATTCATTTATTCTTAAATAGGTTAAAATCAAAATCTGTTAATTTGGGTCAAATGTCTATTTTTATCACATATTTAATCACCAGAGACGGACACAGTAATTTCTGTCAAAGAGTGTGAACATAAAAAGTTATATTAAAATCTTAGGGATACGAGATTATAAAATTTCAAGGGATATGAAATTAAATAATTTATATAAAATATAAAAAAATATTTAAAATACGGTGGAATTTGAAATTTTTAGCCATCCCTGCTACGGGACAACAAATGACTTCAATTAACAAAATGTGTAGACTAAAGTTTAAGTTTGAAATGTAGAGACCAAAATCATAATTTGACTCCAGATAAAGATATAGTAAAATCACTACCACCAATCAATGAACTCAGCTCCACAAGTGGGAAGCGAAAGGTAAAAAGGGTCCATATCCAGCTGGAAATCTGACGCACCAGATGACGTGAAAAATCCAAGATCATAGGCAACTGGTAAAATATATATCAAACTAAGTAGTATTTCAAAAGAAAATAATGGTCTACGTTCCCATTTGCAAACCCTTTTATAGGCGACCCCATTGCACCATTTCCAAACTTCACAGAATTCACGCAAAATTCTTCGTCTTCCCCCAAACTTCTCTCGTGTTTTCTCGTAGCTCTTTTTTCGTACAGGATTTTAATTTATGGACAAAGGATGGGGTCTTGCCCTTGAATCCGATACAGCTACTAGTAATTTTTTCTCGAGCAAAACTAGTTCTACGAAGGGTAGTTCCTTTACGCTGAACCAGCAACGAGACATGTTTCAGTTTCCGTTCAGCCTCGCCGGGTCCAGAGATGACCGCCAGCGAGCCTCCGCTTATTCCTCCTCGCCGTCCAATGATACACGGATTCCCGTCGACGAGGTTGACTTTTTCTCCGATAAGAAGTCGAGGGTCGTTGATGATGACCGTGTTAAGAAGGAACACGGCAACGGCAAACCAGCTCCCGCCTCTTATTTGGATGTAAATGTAAGTTGCATTTTATTTGTGATTCGGTCCCCAGAATATTGTTTTTTTTAAACTTTTAAGTTATGTAGTAATTAACTATTTTTCTAAATACAGACTGGGTTGCTTCTTCTGACTGCCGGAAGTGATCAATCAACTGTTGATGATGGTGTCTCATCGGATATGGAAGATAGGCGAGCCAAGGATGAAGTAAGAGGACGATACTATTAAACTTCAAAATTATAAAGAGTATAGGGACTAATAAAAGAATTAAACCTTTTATTCTTTTTTCTGAATCGTTGTTTCTCTTGATTTTCAGCTGGCACAATTACAAGTGGAGTTGAAACGCATGAATGCTGAAAATCAAAAGCTTAAAGACATGCTTAGCCATGTCGGCAACAATTACACTGCTCTCCAGATGCACCTTGTCACCTTAATGCAACAGCAACAAAACCCAGAAATCGAAACCACCGGAGAACAACACCGGGTAATACCGGATTACCATAATAAAATTTGAGTCGAATCTAATCAAATCGATAACGAATTCATTGAATATGTTTGTTTTATGGATTTTCAGATTCAAGAAGTGAAATCCGAAGAGAAGAAACATGGTCAAGAGATAATGCCTTTGAAAATATTAGATCCAGGCCCCTCCGGTGGAGCCGAAGCAGCCTCGACTCATTCATCGTCGGAAGAAAGAACTCGTTCAGGGACACCTCGAAACAACGTGGAAAACAGAATCGGTAGAGAAGAAAGCCCTGAATTCCAGATCTGGCGACCTAACAGCAAAGTCCCGAAGCTGAATTCTGGGAAACCGATTGATCAATCAGCCGAGGCCACCATGAGGAAAGCTCGTGTCTCGGTTCGAGTTCGATCGGAAGCTCCAATGGTATGTATTGCAGCCTGCTTTAATCACTTTTTTTAACTGTTGAGAAGCTTGTTGATTGTTAAGTTGATGTGCAGATCACTGATGGATGCCAATGGAGAAAATATGGACAAAAGATGGCTAAAGGAAACCCGTGTCCTCGAGCTTATTACCGATGCACCATGGCTATTGGTTGTCCCGTCCGGAAACAAGTATGTTGCAATCTTATTCTTGTTAATTTAATTCAACAAAACATTCTCACTTTAAAGCTCGGATGCTGAATTGATTCTTAACCTCAAACCATTCTAATTAAGTTCCAAAAGATTAGTATTGTATTAGTCTAGCCATTAATGTTAGTTCAATGTTATATGTTCAAAGATAATTCTCAACCATTTGACATTAAACGCTCACACTCTTGACATTTCTGGTACTCAAACCCACTTAAGGAATAACAATAATTCTTTTATTACCAAGCTCGCTTGCTTTGTACGCCAAATTAAGCTTTACCTATCAAATATTGAGTTTAAACATTCAATAAGCCCTTATACAATTATACTTATTGAAGTTAGCCCTTACATTTAAACATTTCTCAATCTCGGCTCCATGCACATGATCAAATTATTATAAACCTTTATATATTTGTTATGATAATTAGGATTTGTTTTGTTATATTTTTTGCTTCAAGCCATATTTTTGCGGGCATTTTAACGTTGAAAATATGAAGAGACATTATTAACACTATAAAAGCTGAATTAGAATGATTTAAAGTTACCGACTAATTTAGGAATTAGGCCATAGTTAGAGGATATCTGGTCATATTATCTATTTTCCTTAATGTTTTATTTCTATCTCATCTAGATTTCAAAGCATGAAAGCTTAACCTATTTTTTATTTTTATGGTCAATCTCAGGTTCAACGCTGCGCTGATGATAGAACAATCTTGATAACAACATACGAGGGCAACCACAACCACCCACTTCCGGCGTCGGCGATGGAAATGGCATCAACAACGGCGGCAGCGGCCAGCATGTTGCTTTCAGGGTCCATGCCAAGTGCAGATGGTAATATCATGAACCAAAACTTACTTGCAAGGACAATCCTTCCATGCTCCTCGAGCATGGCAACCATATCGGCCTCGGTGCCGTTCCCCACCGTCACATTGGACCTCACACACTCACCGAACCCTCTACAATTCCGAAGCCCGCCGCCGCAACCGCAGCAATTCCAAGTCCCTTTCGCCTGCCAACCCAAAAACTTGCCTCAGGTTTTTGGTCAGCCATTGTACAACCAGTCAAAATTCTCAGGCCTGCAGCTGTCACAAGCCCCACATCCTCAATTGCAGCAACCTCAACAGCCTTCGTTGGCCGACACGGTTACCGCCGCCATCACGAAAGATCCTGGCTTCACCGCAGCCCTGGCGGCCGCCATCAAATCCATCATTGGCGGCGCTCATCCGAATAGTAGCAGCAACACTTCCCACAACAACAACAACAACACATCAAGCAACACGTAATAACTAAGATCTTAGAACACACACACACACAACGTCATTCTTTCCTATCATGGTTCCATTTTGAATGATTCAGTTCATATTTTCGAGTAAATACACACAAAAAAGAACATAATCTCCTTTTCCATGAGGATATCTTATCTACTTCTTTCTGTTTTCCTTAAGGATTAATTTCACTATTAGTCCCTAAACTTCAAAGCATTCATCTGACTTGTTTAAAAACAACAAAACAAAGGAGTAATCTTGAAGAGATGGGTCAAGAAAATACGGCTACCATACTTGGACACGTAACTTGTTTGTATGCTAAGAAAACAGTAGACTTTGTCAAGTAGGAGACTTCAAGGCAACTACGTGTGCATTGAATATAACGAAAAGAAACATTGAGGGGGAAGGGATAATATTTTTGTTTGGATCAAATTTGATTCAATGAAGAAGATGATGACATGTTGGGTTGTAGTTTCGTGGAATTTGTGGGTGTGATGCAATTATTCTAATGGACAACTCAAATTGTTTTGATTTTGATTGACATCTTCATGCTAATTAAACATTCATATTTCGTTTGAATACTTTGCTCAAATTTTGATTTTAGTCCCTTTGTTATGCTAAAATTTAATATTTAATTTTTTGTACTTTGATTTATCATACTATGATCCTTTTACTTTTATAATTTCAATAGCCTTTAATAACTATTTGGACCGAAAAATGAATATAAATAGAATGACCAAATTATGTTATACAAAAATACATAAGTTAAATCTCGAATTTGAGCATATATATAGGGGCAGGAGGATCAACATTTGACCAGTAATTGGGGAATTTGGGGACTTCCGTGCTTGTGTTTTTTTTTTTCTTAATTTAGAATGATCTTCTCTGTCTTAACGCGGAATGTTCGGGGTTTAGGGAAAGGGGAAAAAGTTAGAGCAGTGTGTTAGACGTTAGTTGCTAGCAAAGCCAATGTTGTGTTTTTACAGGAATCCAAATTAACAATGAAGTACCCAAGAATCTTCAATCGGTTAAGCGGTGTTAGGCTTAATGAATATGAATTCGTTCCCACGGAGGGGGCGTCACGAGGTATTATTTCGCTATGGGATACTATTTTTTTGTGTTGGAAAGAAAGATGTTACAGAGATGGTTTGTGATACTAGTTGGTTTTTTGACTAAGGATAAAATGAAGTTGGAATTAATTAACGTATGCGCGCCGAATAATCATTCTGATAGGAGAGACTTCTTCGCAAAATTTGATGAAATTATAGTGAATTTGGGGGTCCCTGTCATATTGGGTGTGATTTTAGCACTATAAGATGTGAGGAGGAGAAGATTGGTGGGTTAGCCAACGTTTCAGCTACGAAAATGTTTGAGGAGTTTAGTCAGGTAAGGAATCTGGTTGACCTGCCTCTTGAGGGGAGTGCATTTACCTGGTTTAAAGGAGGTACATCGATCTCTGACAGTAGAGTAGACATGTTCCTCAATTCACCAAAAATTCTGGGGAGGTTCCCTAACCTCTCTCAATCAGCTCTCTTGCGGGGTTTATCGAGCCATAAACCAGTTCTTCTGAAAGAGATGGGTTTTGATGTGGGCCCTAGGCCATTCAAATGGTTCTCCCATTGGGCGGTGGACCGTAATTATGTTAATCTGGTATCAGATATAAGTAGAAAGTGTCGGAGTAGAGGCATTTGTTTTTTATTGAAGAAAGTAAAAGTAGCCACTAAGGGTTGGAGAAGAAAATAGACGATTTAGAAGTTGTTGCTATGTCCTTTGGTAGAATCAATTCTGTCCACTGAGAAACTCTCTCTCAAAAGTAGACTTTGGTTGAAGTATAGAAGGGATGAAAGAGAATGGTTACAGAAATCAAGGCTTAAGTGGTTCAAAGCGGGGGATTGAAATACGAAAATTTTCCATGCGTCTGCTGCTATCAGAGGCCAGAACAACTATATCTCTCAGATTAACGTGGGGGATAGGCTGTTTGTAGATCCCAAACAAATATCCAAGCTGTTTGAAGACCATTTTAGATACAATTTCAACAATGTCAAAACTCTCCTCGTTAGCAGTTTAAAGGTGCAGCTTCCTATCTTAAGTAATTCGTCAAGGGTTGCTCTTGAAATTCCTTTTTCAGTTGAGGATGTGTATGGTGTCATCATGTCATCGGATGGTTTAAGGGCGCCTAGGACTGATGGGTTTTGCTTAGATTTCTTTAAGAAATTTTGGGATGTTATTAAATTGGAGGTGATCGCTTGTAAATGTATATGCTAAGGCAAGTAAATTTGTGTAAGTGTACACAATCGATGCGAGTACTATAAGAGTGATTTGAGTATCATCTCCACACGGATTGGTGAGAAATATTAATTTTTTGCTGTAGCTAGAACTAGGTATCACCAACTATTCTAAATTTCTTGTCTAAACAACAATAAGTAATACTAGGAGAAGTAAACTAAAGGAAAAGTATTGTCTAAGCAAGAATTATTGTAAAGTATGCGATGCAGAAAAGTGTAGTCGAGGCAAGGAAAAATTGCACAAGTAAATTAATCAAAATATTAAATCGAATAAAAACATTGAGTTTAATAAATTCAGAGAAACCTCACACAGGCAGACTTCTTTACGGAGCACTCAGGTTGGTTTTGCTAAGATGAAGAATTATCCTATGCATAGAATGTTTAGGTGAGCTATACTTAAATTGCCCGATAAGATTACTAGAGTATTCAAGAACGGCTTCTACAATAATACTACTCGTCATGAACTACAACCCTTGGTTTGTCAAACTGTTGTTGCGACAATACCCCTCAACGTTAACTGCATTCATTGCCTATCCTACTCGAGTAACTACCCATTTTAGTAGAATAAAACCCTATCCTTATCTCTAAGGCGGATTAGAACCTCACCATCCCGGATCAATCCCATTGTTCACATAGATCTTCCTTAACTCTCTCGAATTTAAGCATCTACTCCTAGAAGAATGACAATCTCTCAAAAGCTCTTACAAAATCTAGGAATGTTTTGTCTAGGCACTTGGCAATCTCTCGAAGCTCTTACAATGTCAAGGAAAAATATTTAAACAATGAACAAAACAATATTAAGCATAAATAAACTTCTTCATTCAAAAACATAAAATAACGTTTCATTAAAACCATAACCAACTCCAAGTAAAATAGTTCATGGTGTGGCAAATATCATCCAAGAATTTAAACTTTACGTACAAGCCTTTTTTATGAGAATCAGAAATTAAGAACAAAGGAAGAAACACTCCCAAACAAAGCTCTACTGTGACATTCTGACCACCACCATGCCTGCTCCAGCAGCTAGGTCCTCGAGAATGAAGTTCGACTATAGAGGGCACCAAGGACGGTCGAGTGGGGGAACGGTGGAAGGTACTATAATGCAGCTGCTTACTCCACGCCTAAGGTAAATCATCTCATTGCTTCCTCTCCTTGAGCGGTTATAATGAGGTATTTATAATGGGAATTTCTAGGGTTTTATGTCATTAGATATTCCCTAAATACCCTTATTGACTTTCTCGTGCTATAAATAGAAAGGCGGCTGGAGGTGGTCAATTTCTTGAGGGCGTGATTGCATTTGAGGGTGAAGTTGGGCAAATGACGTCAGCAATTGTTGAGCCATGTCAGGTCTGCAAGATAAATCTTGCCTCGGCGAGATAAATATGTTCCTCACTGTCGTCTTCTTATGTTCCTCTTGCTCTGGGAAATAGTTGTTGTCTCGGTAAATAATTTTTTCCTTCATTATTTCCTGCATCAATACAACCAATAAAGAACCTTCCTCCTCAGCAGTATCAGTTAAGCCAAATAAATCTTGCCTAGGCAAAACTTATCTACCACATGCAAATATGACCTAAATGCAACTAATATGATATGACAACGACTTTTAAACACATAATAACTTAAGTAAAAAGGCAAAAAATTGTCGACACCACTTTTCGCCCGGGCAGGGAAAAACTTAGTAGGACTTCGGGGTTTTCTTTGAAATTTTTTTGAAATGTTTTGGAGTCGCCATCGACCTTTTGAGTTAGCTAGGTCGAATAACTAAAAATTTTCTTTTAAAAGAGTTTTTAAGAAAACATCATTTTAAAAGATAATCAGTTTACGTGTAACCAGAGATTCATTCTTTTTTGTAATAAAAAATGGGTTCGGGGATCGATTACGTGTGGGGAAGGATAAACACTCCCACAACGCCCAAAATTGGTACCCCATCGATTATAAACTGTCTCTAATAGTGGAAATCTAAGAATTCAAATACAAATTTAAGTTACGATCCCATTATTCCAAATTCAATCATACAATTTCTATTTAATGAGAAATTCTACGGAGAAATAGAAAATATTCTAATATTTCAAATCGAAGAGAAAATAATCCCCAAAATATTTTAGGATGAATATTTCTCTTTCCAAATAAAATAAAAAGAATATAATAATTTCTCCCAATAACTCAACATTAAAATAATTTGATTCAACCAAAATGATTATAACTAAAGTAAGCATATTCAATTTTTTTAGTTTTTTTTCTAAATAGGGTATTTATTTATTTTAAAATATCAGAATAGAACATCTAGTTACTTTAAGACGATCATTTCTTAATATTTCTAAAATAAATAAATATTGCCTTTAATCCAATTATGAAATCAATCGAGTTATGCTTATGAGGCTTTCATATATATTTATAGAACTAAAATGAAATGATCAGAAACTAAAGAGCAATAATTAAAGTATTAAATTTAAAGTATTGCAAAATAAAAGACAAAAATAAAAATAAAATAAAAACAATAACAAAATTATAATTAAATAGTGACCAAAATATAATCAAACAAAAATAGCATATCAAAAATTAAAATAAGACAAAACGTAAATAAATGAAAAAATTGTGAAAAAACCAAACAACATATTAAAATAGAATATAACAAATGACCAAAACATAAATAAATAAAAATATCATATCAATTTTAAAATAAATTAAAATGTAAATGTGACCAGAATAGAAACAAAATAAAATTAATACATCAAAGTTAAAACAAATAAACTATAAATAAATTACCAATATATAAGCAAACAAAAATAGCAAGT